AGGCTGTAGTATCCATTACGAACTTTAAATACAAAAATTCAAACATTTCCGGTGAATAATGTAGCTTAAATCATCAATATACCGGATATCGGGGGTATCGTTGTAGTTCTTAGAAAGAACTTCTAGTATCGATTTTTAGACAATTCCATTGAAAAAGGTAGCTAAAATCATCAAAATACCGAATATAGGGAGGTTCCTGTTTCCAGGGGTTAAAGTACTCAAAAGGAAATACTTGTGTTTATTTTCGGACAATTCCGTTGAAAAATGTGAATAAAATCATCGAAATAACGAATATAGGGAGGTACCGTGATATGGGGGATATCGTATATCGAGGACCTATATCGACAATTCTCTTTCAGGTGGTTACGTAGTCACGAAGAATTCCTTGTGTAGAATTTCAGAGAATTTCATTGAAAAATTTGGCTACAACCATGAAAATACCGAATATCGGGAGGTACCGTTATATGGAGGCTATACGATATCGTAGATCGATGTAGCCCATCTTCGAACTCAACGTGCCTACAGACAAATGACTAATTTGCGCAAAATTTTAGCTTACCATCCTTATTTGTTTTGACTCTAACGAAATTACAACAGACGTACGCATGGACAGGGCAAAATCGACTTAGAATTTCCCGCTGACCCGGATCCACTTACCCGATATTGACAATATAGGCTTATGAAAATATCTATTCAACAAGTGGTCACATGATGGGGTTATTTAAAGCGGTTCGGAAGTTATAGCCAAATTATCGATTTTTGGGCCCGAATATTTTATAAAACCTCCAAAAAGTCGAAAAAGAGGCCATATTGAGGGTCAACAAATTATAGCTGACACTCTTACCTTTAAAAAAATCCTACAATTTGTGCTTATACCCTTTTCGGGTCCAGAGATATGGGACGCCAGTTGTACATGGGATTCCGGAACAAGCGCCGGTTGAACACCTATCTCGTGGATCTTACCCCTGGATTTACTTCCACGCGAGGAATATGAAAATATCCGCCACCTGAGCAACGACTGCACTCTTTCCAAAATGGTTTGTGGAGATGAGAACGCAGCTGAATGTGCAGGTAAAGGAAAATCTAATTCCGATCCCCGGGGTCACTAAGACGTAATGTGCCTTAGCTGTTTAAACCAGTGTTTGCCAAAAGATAATAGCTATATTATCATGTGGACTTCATAACTTCTAAAAGAATTTATTTTTCAAAATGAAAATGAATACGATCGAAAGAATGTAAACCATTGTTGTGATATCTAGGTCGTCCCCCACTTCCAAAATATTTCCTTTTATTTATTATCCAAACAAAAATATCGCAGATGTATTGATTTTTGGATAAATCTAGAAAAAAATCATTCACGCATTTCTATTCATAGGTATATTTTCCGTAGAACACGTCGTTGCGATAATATTCATTAGCAGCTCAAAGGTGCTAATGAATCGCTTTGGCCCCAGTGAATTCCTTACTCATATGTTTTGAGTTATAAGAAACATTTATGTTTGATCTTCAAATTCCGATAAGATTCAATTATTTTGGCAAAGCAATCAACCTAACTGCCGCACACACACACACACACACACGTACTCACCGTTTGTGGATGCCATATAGACAGACTAAATGTCTCACACAACTGAGCTGAGTGAATAATTGTACGTGCTTTGGGCAAATGGACAAAATTAGCCATGCACAGTGGAGTAAAGAGGCCTCAGCCAATATTCGATGATTTAACTACATTTTGACTTCTGTTATGATTATTTAAATGGTTGTCTCCTATGGAGTAAATTCCGAAGGAATGGGCCAATATTGTCCATTTTGTATCGGACCTAAATACCTATGATATAAATATTGCGACGTGCCGGGTTTGGACTATTTTGGTTCATTCCTTCACTTTATATGAGACATGTGATAATTATAGCCTTAGCCATATCGCTAGAGAGGGTATATATCACTTGATATGGCCAAAACGTGCCTCATCGAAGTAAGGGTTTTAGACCCTAGGTCTCTTTGAACCAAATCCGTTTCGGGACATTTGAAGTCGATCTGGCGATGTACGTCTGGTTTGCTGTTGCACACGATAATACTTGAAGGGAGTATCCGATTTGATCCAAACTTGGTACATCGTAATATTATTATTAAACTAAGATTAAATTCGGAGATGGTCAATATCGGTCCACTCATTCTGGTAACTCCCCACAAAAGGACGAAATTTTCAAAATAAATATTTTACTGCACAGAAAGAGAAAGGATAATCCAAGTTTGCTCCAACTTTGCATATCATAATATTTACATCAGTGCCAGGTCAGGTGCGAAAATGGACAATATCGGCCCACTCCATCAAGTAACTCCCCCACAAAGTGTCAAAATTTTGAATAATTATTACTCTTATAAAATTTTATGTAAATGTCGGATGTCTTCAAGTTACACACATCACAATATTTTTAATAACCCAAGATCTGGTGTGAACATGGAAGATATCTGTTTACTCTTTCTGGCACCTACCCCACAAAGGGTCAAAATTTTGAATACCCATGTAGCTCATAAAAGGCGAAATTAACACCCGATTCCATTCACACTTGGCACATCTCAATATTTCCATCAACATCAGATCTGTTATAAAGTAGGAATGTATCGGTCCACTTCTTCTGGTACCTCCCCCACAAAGGGTCAAAATTTTGAATAACCAAAACGATCATAAAATACGAAATAGGCATCCGGTTCTCTTCAAATTTTACACATCCCATTATTTCTACTAACACAACATCTGCTGTATAGGTGGAATGTATCGGTCCACTCCTTCTGGTACCTCCCCCACAAAGGGTTAATATTTTGAATATTACTGAAGCTCATAGAACACGAAATTAATATCCGATTATATTCAGATTTGGCACATCTCATTATTTCCAACAACGCAAGATCTGTCATAAAGATGGTAGAGATCAGACCATTCCTGCTGGTACCTCCCCCACAAAGGGTTACAATCTAGAATAACAGAAACGATCATAAAATCCGAAAAAAAGGATCCGGTTCTCTATAATTAACACACATCACAATATTTTTATTAACTCAAGGTCTGATGTGAAGATGGAATGTATCGGTCCCCTCCTTCTGATACCTCCCCCACAAAGGATCAAAATTTTGAATGTCAATGAAGCTCATAAAACACGAAATTGATATCCGATTCCATTCAGATTTGGAACATCTCATTATTTCCATCAACGCAAGATCTGTTGTAAAGATGGTGAAGATCGGACCATTCCTGCTGGTACCTCAACCACAAAGCGTCAAAATTTTGAATAACCAAAACGATCATAAAATCCGAAATTAGCATCCGGTTCTCTTCAAATTTCACACATCCCATTATTTCTACTAACACAAGATCTGCTATGAAGATGGAATATATCGGTCCACTCCTTCTGGTACCTCCCTCACAAAGGATCAAAGTTTTAAATATATATGAAGCTCATAAGACACGAAATTAATATCCGATTCCATTCATACTTGGTACATCTCAATATTTCCACCAACACAAGATCTGTTATAAAGGTGGTAGAAATCGGATCATTCCTCTGGTGGTGCTTCCCACAAAGGGTCAAAATTTTGAAAAAACAAAACGATAATAAAAACCGAAATAAGCATCCGGTTCTCTTCAAATTTCACAGATGCCATTATTTCTACTAACACAAGATTTGCTGTGAAGATGGAATGTATCGGTCCACTCCTTCCGGTACCTCCCCCACAAAGGGTCAATATTTTGAATACCCAATGTAGCTCATAAAAGGCGAAATTAACATGCGATTCCGTTCAGACTTTGCACATCTCAATATTTCCATCAACACAAGATCTGTTATTGAGATGATAGGGATCGGACCATTCCTTCTGGTACCTCCCCCACAAATGGTCAAAGTTTTGAATAACCTAAACGGTTATAAATACCGAAATAGGCATCCGGATCTCTTCAAATTTCACAAATGCCATTATTTTAACTAACACCATGTCTGCTGTAAAAATGAAATATATCGGCAATCTCCGTCTGGTGCCTACCCCACCTAGGGTCAATATTTTGAACCTTTATGAAGCTCATACAACGCGAAATTAACATCCGATTCCATTCAGATTTGGCACATATCATTATCAACACAAGATCTATTGTAAAGATGGTAGAGATCGGACCATACCTGCTGGTACCTTCACCACAAAGGGTCATAATTTTGAATAAACAAAGTGATTAAAAAAATTCGAAATAACCATCCGGTTCTCTTCAATTTACACACATCACAATATTTCCATCAACACAAGATCTGTTATAAAGATGGTATAGATCGAACCATTACTTCTGGTACCTCCCCCATAAAAGGTCATAACTCATGGGGTTTTTCAGCATTTGATGTTTTTATAGACTCTCTCATAATATCTCCCTATACAAGACCGATTTGAGTAATCTTTTAACCAGGACATTTTAAAGGCCAATAGATAGATATTCAAAAACCCCATCCTCAGAACGTCTAGGGAAGCTCTGATAGGTCTTCTATGGACGTAGTTAATTTTTCGCTTATCTGTGGGTAGACGACCTTAGAAGACCTTTTTGCAGACTTTTTTAACACAAAAACAAGTAAATTTACTTGCCTTCCATTTCTACCCACTGTGCGCTGCAATATATAATCAGCTGCGGTCACATACCCGCCTCGAATTGACCAATTAGTGAAATCACGTTTTACCGCTACGAATACACGCTTTGCACTCGGCCAGAATTTTCAATGTTAAGGTCATTCGCAACTATTTCAGGCATTTATGTTTTACTTTTTTTTTTTGTTTTTTTTTGCAACGTTGTTTCTTTTTTAAAAGCAGCTATTAAATTGTTGCCAGCTTAGAATTAACTTGTTTCTTATTGCAAATTGTTGTTGTCGTTGTTGTTTTATTGTCATAATTGTTGTAAACTTGAGATTGATTGTGAGACTTTTGTATTTCCCATTATTCATGTTTCTCGTCTTCTCTTTTTGTAGCTGTGCAACTAATCTGTGATATGCACTGATTTGAAAACGATCTGCTGAATGACAACACCGATTGCGGTTGGAAAATCATAAGCCTGTAGAAGTTCTTTGCTTGCAGAAGCATTAGGAAAAAAATTAAAAAAATTAATATTTTTGTGACTGTGATCGTTTGAACGAGTACTCCGTAGCCCACCATGGAACTGGAAATGGAAACAAGTAAAATGCTGAAAAGCAATACCGTGCGCAGCATACCCATCGAATTTACAGATCTCACCTATCAAGTTAATGTGCCAAAGCAAAAAGGTAAGAAGGAATATTTATAAAAAAAAGTATTCACATTTACAGAAATATACACATTGACGTGGATCTGCATAAGAAATTTTTTGTCATAGGTTGTAGTACTGATTTCGAACTTCAAATACTAATTTTAAAACAATTCCGGTAAATAATGTAACTAAAATCATTAAAATACCGAATATAGGGAGGTACCGTTATATGGGGGTTATACGAAGACGTGGACCTGCATTTTTCAGATTTTTGTCACAGGCTGTAGTATCTATTAGGAACTTCAACTATGAAATTTCTAACAATTTCGGTGAATATTGCACCTAAAATCGCCAAAATACAGATTATAGGGAGGTACTGATATATGGGTCTGTACGAAGAGCTGGACCTGCATGTTTTCAATTTTCTGCCACAGGCTGTAGTACTTGTTACGAACTTCAACAACGAAATTTAAAACAGTTCCGGTCAATAATGTAGCTAAAATAATCAAAATACCGAATATGGAGAGGTACCGTTATATGGGGGCTATACGAAGACCTGGACCTGCGTAGGAAATTTTCAGTCACAGGCAGGCTGTATTTATTAGGAACTCTAAATTCGAAATTTGAAACAATTCCGGCGAATAATGTCGCTAAAATCATCAAAATGCAGAATATGGGGAGGTACCGTTATATGGGGGTTATACGAAGCCGTGGACCTGAACAGACAATTTTCTGTCATAGACTGTAGTATCCATTACGAACTTCAAATACCAAACTTGAAACACTTCTGGTGAATAATATCGCTTAAATCACCAAAAATACCGAAAATAGGGAGGTATCTTTATATGGGGGCCATATCAAAACGTAGGCCTACTTGACCCATTTTCAATGACAAAAGTCCTGCAGACTAATATACATTTGAGTAAAATTTTATCAACCTACTCCAATTTGTTCGAAAGCTAGAGTGATTTCCACAGACGGAGGGACATCGCTAAATCGAATGATAGAATTTTATTCTGATCAAGAATATATTTATTATGTGGGGTCCAAAATGTATATTTCGATGTTCTGCAAACGGAATGATAAAATTAATATACCCCCCATACTATGGTGGAGGGTATAATAATGGGATGTTTGAAATTTGAAGAGAACCGTATGTTTATATCGGATTTTATGATCGTTTTGGTTATTCAAAACTTAGAGCCTTTGTGGGGGAGGTACCAGAAGGAATGGTCCGATCTCTAAAATCTTTATAACAGATCTAGTGTTGATGGAAATATTGAGATGTACCAAGACTGAATGGAATCGGATGTTAATTTCGCGTTTTATGTGCTTCATAGATATTCAGAATTTTGACCCTTTGTGGGGGAGGTACCGGAAGGAGTGGACGAATATATTCCATCTTCACATCAGACCTTCGGTTAATAAAAATATTGCAATGCGCGGAATTTTAAGAGAACCGGATACTTATTTTCGATTTTATGATCGTTTTGATTATTCAAAATGTTGACCCTTTGTGGGGGAGGTACGGGAGGGATGGTCCGATCTCTACCATCTTTATAACTGATTTTGTGTTAGTAGAAATAATGGAATGTGCGAAATATTAAGCGAACGGCATGCTTATTTCGGATTTTATAATCGTTTGGGTTATTCAAAATTTTGCCCCTTTGTGGGGGAGGTACCAGAAAGAGTGGACCGATATATCCCACCTTCACGCCAGACCTTGGGTTAATCAAAATATTGCGATATGTGTAATTTGAAGAGATCCGGATTCTTATTTCGGATTTAATGATCATTTTGGTTATTCAAATTTTTGACCCTTTTGTGGGGGAGATACCAGGAGGAATGGTCCGATTTCTACGGTCTTTATAAAACATTTTTATGTTGATGGAAATATTGAGATGTGCCAAGTCTGAATAGAATTTGCTGCTAATTTTGCGTTTTAGGAGCTTCATGGATATTCACAATTTTCACCCTTTGTGCGGGAGGTATCAGAAGGAGTGGACCGATTTACCCCATCTTCATACCAGGTTTAATAAACATATTGCGATATGTGTAATTTGAAGAGAACCGGATGCTTATATCGGATTTTATGGTTGGTTTGATTTTTCAAAATTTTCACCCTTTGTGGGGGTGGTGCCAGAAGGAATGGTCCGATCTCTACCATCTTTATACAGATCTTGTGTTTATGAAAATATTGAGATGTACAATGTCTGAATGGAATCGGATGTTAATTTTGCGTTTTATTATCTTCATGAATATTCAAAAGTTTGTGGGGGAGGTACTTGATGGAATACTTGATGGAGTGGACCGATATTTTCCATTTGTCCGCCTGACCTAGCACTTATGCAAATATTAGAATATGCAAAGTTTGAGCAAAATCGGATGATCCTTTCTTTTTCTGTTCAGAAAATTATTTTCTATAATAATTTTGACACTTTGTGAGGGAGGTACCGGAAGGAGTAGACCGATATTGCCCATCTCCCAACTCGATCTAAGTTTGATAATAATATTACGGTGTACCAAGTTTGGAAAAAAACGAAATCGTATAATCTAGCCAGACAGACGGACGGACGGACATTGCTAAATCGAATCCAAATGTTCTGCAACGGATTTGGTCCAAAGAGGCCTGGGGTCTAAAACCGTTATTTCGATAAGGCACTTTTAGGCCGTACCAAATGACATATACCTTCTACTTTCCTTTTCTATAAACAAAACATGTCTCACCCACCTGCCAGTGTCAATCCTAATGCCCAAGATAGAAATAGTCCGGTCAGTGACTTTCTTAACAATAAGAAAATGACGTATTACAACAAAACACTATCGCTGTCGTTATTTTTTTTTTTTTTTTTTTTTTTTTTTTTTTTTTTGTAAAGATGGCTTCGTTCCAAATGCATTTTGCATTTTAGTATTCACCGAACGTAAACTAGGACACCAACGTGGTGGCGTAGCATTTGTTACATTTGCCAACCACGTTACAAGTTCCTATTACGATTGACAGCACAGAAGACACAATCGAGGAAAATTTACATACTGTTTTGAACTTGAGTGCTTCTAGTTAGCGTCCCATTGTTTCAAATGAAGGAAATATCTTCAGAACAAAAACAAAAACCTCCTTCTTTTTGTCAACTTAAAATTTGTATGTAAGTCGAATATGGACTTTTCTTTACATTTTTACTTTCGTTTTTTTTTTTTTTTGTTATTTGTTCTATTGCTAATTTGCATATGTTGTGTATGTGTTTCTTTATTGCTAATTCGCATGAAGCGGATCAATTTTGTAATCGCATTAACATTTTTTTTTGCTGCTGCTGCTACTGCTAATCTCGTCAAGTTTCTTTGTCATTTCTGGCAAGTCATCACGGTAAGACGATATTGAAAGGAAAACTATTACACCGATTATTGTGAAATGTGCCATTTTTATAGATATTATGAAATTTTTCCAAAGGGAAGTAGGTTGGAAGGAGTATTATAGGATAAAAATGACATAAAATGGGTCGAAGTAAATATGTATAGCAAGTATATTCCCTGTAGGGAATTTCATTGGTGAATATTTATTGACTTTGTCACCAGTACTACTGACCCAATGTAGACGCTTTTTTATACCCTCAGCCATGTGGCTAGAGAGGGTATATATATTATTTGATACGGTCAAAACGTGCGTCATCAAAACAACGGTTTTAGACCCTATATCTCTTTGGATAAAATACGTTTCAGGACATTTGGAGTCGATCTAGTGATGTCCGTCCGTCCGCCTGTCTGGCTGGCTGGTGCGCACGATAACTCTCGAAGGGAGTATCCGATCTGATCTAAAGTTGGTACATCGAAATATTATTATCAAACTTAGGTCGAGTTCGGACATGGGCAATATCGGTCCACTCCTTCTGGTACCTCCCCCACAAAATTTCAACATTTTCAAAGAATATAATTTACTGCACAGAAAGAGAAAGGATAATCCGATTTTGCTCTAACTTTGCAAAACATTTGATACGGCCAAAACGTGCCTAGTCGAAATAACGGTTTTAGACTCTAGGTCTCTTTGGACCAAATCCGTTTCAGAACATTTGGAGTCGATCTAGCGATGTCCGTCCGTCCGTCCGTCCGTCTGTCTGTCTGTCTGGCTGGCTGGTGCGCACGATAACTCTCGAAGGGAGTATCCGATTTGGTCCAAATTGGCTACAACGTAATATTTTTGTCAAACTTAGATCGAGTTCGGAGATGGGCAATATCGGTCCACTCCTTCTGGTACCTCCCCCACAAAAGGTCGAAATTTTCATAAAATATATTTTTTGCACAGAAGAGAAAGGATAATCCGAATTTGCTCCAACTTTGCAAATCCTAATATTTGCGTCAGTGCTAGTTCAGGTGTGAAAATGTTCAATATCGGTCCACTCCATCAAGTACCTCCCCCACAAAATATTGAAATTTTGAGTACCCATGAAGCTCATAAATCGCCAAATTAACATCCGATTCCAGGCACATCTGTCGAAATATTTATATCATATTTTGGGTCCGATAGGAAATGGGCAATATTGGTCCATTCCTTCGGGATCTGCTCCATAGAGGGTCAAACGTTTTAATAACCTTAACACTAGTCAAAATATATTAGATAATCGAACATAGGCTGAGGGTATATCTCTGGCGGCAATACCGACTGATACTTTTTAACTTGTTTTATTAACACACGGTCTGATGTGAAGATGGGATATATCGGCCCACTCCTTCTAGTACCCCCCCCCCCCCCCCCCCCCACACACACACACACACAAGGCTCAAAATTTTAAATATACACGAAACTCATAAAACACGAATTTAACATCCGATTCCATTCAGACTTGATACATCTCAATATTTCCATCATCAAAAGATCATGGTAGAGATCGCACCATTTCTTCAGGTACCTCCCCCACAAAGTGTTCAAGATTTCGATAAACAAAACGCTGAAAGACGGCGGAATAAGCATCCAACTCTCTTCAAATTTCACAGACACAGGATCTGTTGTGAGATCAGATCTGATTATCAGTCCACTCCTTCCACCAC